GGTGCACTGCTCACAATCCCTGTGGCAAGCATTTAAACTGCTCTAAGCACCAGCAAAAAAAAGAAACAAACATTTCTTTTGTGGTTCCTTTTAGTCCTTGAATATATCACAATTTAACCCTAATCAGATTTACCTGATGTCAGGAAATAACCTGGGACTTTCGGCAGTCATTATCCTAAAGGGTAATAATCAGAAGGTTGAGAGGAAAAACTTAAGATGGCACTTATCTAATGGGCTAACTTAGGTGACTTAGATAATTACATACAAAGGGTATAACCAGAGCCAAGTGTAATGTCCCATGTGATTTTTACTAGGAGAGACTAGTCTTAATAATTTCATCTTTGGACAACCCTCCTTTCTAAGCATGTACCTGCCACTTAGGGATCCCCAACCCAACACGCTGAGGCTCATTTCATCATCATTACAGCTCTAACCCCATTGTAAAAATTCACCAGGCTCTTTTAAGCCAGGATAACAAACTTCTCAAAGTGTTGAAAAAACTTGGTGGCTGATATATGCATGGACTAAGTTATGTATATAGGTTAATAAACACACACACACACACACACACACACACACATATCTTTTAGGACTGGTTTGCCTGAAGTCTTCACATCATGGAATGTCAAATGTCAAATGTCTTTAAAATATGATTATCGGCCAGGCACGGTGGCTCATGCCTGTAATCCTGGCACTCTGGAAGGCTGAGGTGGGTGGATCATGAGGTCAGGAGTTTGAGACCAGCCTGGTCAATATGGTGAAAACCCGTCTCTACTAAAAATACAAAATTTGAGGTCAGGTGCAGTGGCTCACGCCTGTAGTCCCAGCTACTTGGGAGACTGAGGCAGAAGAATCACTTGAACCTAGGAGGTGGAGGTTGCAGTCAGCCGAGATCATGCCACTGCACTCCAGCCTGGGTGACAGAGTGAGACTCTGTCTAATATATATATATGTATATATTTATATATATAATGTATATGATATATATGTGTGTATGTGTGTGTGTATATATATTTTTGTCTGATTCTCCTAAGAGAGAGTAAACTGGCAGAGAAATAGATAATAATTTGACATTCCACATTGTTGTTATCTATATATAGTGTTGTCCTTGAGGTTAGCAGATGCCAGAATTCCTAGATCAATTAAATAGAGCACCCTTTGCCCACAGCTTCCTTTGTAAAAGCTGAATATACTAACGGATTTTTCAAAATATCTATTTTTCATTTTTAAAAGTATCCCTATTTAAAATGTAGGAGTCTAAAAATATACACAAACCAAATGTTGATTCATTGTAGGAGTTGCATGTTATGATTCCCTCATTGCATCTGGTAACTGCATGTGGTTAGCTACACTTGGTACGACTGGATACAGCTTGACATATTCTGGGATTTATTAAAATGTAAATGACAAAGCAGAAAAGAATGTTCAGACAATTGGATTACTCCATTGACTGAATGTTCTAATACTGTATCTATTTTTGTCAAAGCAATGGTGGTTCCTGCTGTGGAATGCTGAATGGAATATTCCATTGCAGGGCATGGGGAGAACTTGAATAAAGGAAATTGAAACCTAACCATTTAATTTTTAATTCACCTCTCTAAAAGCAACACATTGCCAATACTTGTAAAAGAAATTATGATAATTTTGGCACACAATTATTGGAAGATCATCACTTTCAACTATTTATTCAGTGTCTATTATTGGTTCTGTAACTTCATTCATGAAAACAATGATACATTTGCTTGTTTTTGCTCTTGGCCTTGGCTTGTTTTCGTTATGAGCATTATGTGATGAGCATGAATATCTGTGATATGGCAGTGAATATGCACAATCCAAGAGAGACATTTTCCTGATGGGAACTGTTCTTATTTGTTCCAGAGAAGAGAAGGCTGGGAGGTAGTTGTCTTTAAGGACATGAAGGGATTGAGTTTAAAAGAATGGAGGCCGGCTGTTCTTTCTCTCCACAGGGAACAAGAGAAAATGGGATTAAACTACAGCGTGAGGGATTTGGAATAGAAATAAGAATTTCCCAACTGTGTAGAATCTCAAACACTGAAATGCATTTTGAAGGAAGTATGTGGACGTTAGTTTTATTTCGATGCCTTTAAAATATGGAACGGCACATTTTCACTATGTGGTTTTATACGGACGAAGAAGAGCAGATTTGATGACAGAGTTCCGGGATTCTCTTGATCTATGAGTAGAATCTAAAAGTGGTGCATGGTGGTAACTATGAGAAGTAACTATTTTTTTATAGTGGTTATTTTTTAATGTCAACTTTTCTCATGGGGACAGACTGTCAATTTTACCTGTACAGTGAAACATGAAATGGAATGGAAGGTAATATAATAAGTTGGGTGGGGACAGATAATGTGGGAGCACAATGCAGTTTTTAATTTTGTCTTCCCACTACCATTTCTGCTATTGAGTAATTTAAGTTTAAAGGCAAAATATTCTTCTAGTGGAGTTTGATATATGTATATTGATTTTTGAATTTGTAAAAATGTGCTCAGGATTCCTGGGGAAATGAGCATCTCCTGCACCCTCTTTATGGACACACACACACACATATATATGTATACTTTTAAGGAGTTGCATTTTCACATTTGATTCGCAAATTAGCAGAATTATTTGAGTATATGGGATTCAAATTGGTCCAAATTCAATTTTGCTGTTAAAAATTATGACCACAGTGGATATTGGTCTTGACTTGAAGATAATTATATTTTCCACTTCCCTGAGATAGTTTAGTGTAGCAGAAAGAGCGTTGTGTTAAAATCAGAAACTTGGGGGTCAGGTCTTATCTCAATCATGACCTGGCTGTTTGACCTGGACAACTCAGTAACTGTTAAGTATGAGTTTATATTCTGAGGAATAAACAAAAATGTGTTAAACAAATGGTTTTCATTCTAATATGCTATCAGCTATTGATACCAAAAACTCTCGATTTTCTGAGCTGAGTCTAAGATTATGTTCCCATAAGTCAATAGTTCTCAACTTTGGCTGCACATTCTGATCTCCAAGGGAGCTTCAGAAAATTCCAATTCCCAGGCCACATTCACACCAATTAAATCAGAATCTGACCTAGGTATCAGTATTTTCAAAACACCCCAGGTGGTTACAATGTACAGCCAAGGTTTAAAACTCATGCTTTGGATACAGTGCAGTAAGGAACTGAAATAATCATATTAGTGTTATCTATTATGAGTGTGAGAATTGTGTCCATCTTGTTCCTTCCTGTATCCTCAAAACTGAACAAAGCGCCCAGCACATAGTTGGTGCTCAGTAAATACTTAATAGTTTTAGTAAACTTTGGCCAATTCCTAAAAGATACAGGATGTATCAAATCAGCTACCTCCTTTAATCATTTTTATGTTCATCTCATTCACTTAATAAGAGCTCAATTCTCTTCTTTTTTTTGGTCTGTGTAAACATCAAATGAAAGTGAAATAATAGATAATCTTTTGCTGCAATACAATTCACCTATCCTCAGGACGAAATTGAAAAAAAAAATTATCTATCACATTCTCTAGAGAAGGGGCCCTTTGGAATCTAAAGACATGTCTACTACATGACTCTACACATCTAAGTGAAAATTAATAAAACTAACTGTCTCTATGTGTCCAGATGTGATATTCATTCAGCAGGCATTTTTGAAGTACTTTTGATGCCAAGCATTGTGGTAGGCTATTGTAGACTTTCCTGACCAGAGTTTTATGCTAGAATTGAACCCTAATGCTCTGAGCATCTTTACACGTAATGAATTATTTTCCTTCCTTTGCATATAAAATTGTATTTTTAATATATCATTCTTGGGAGAATTGAAAAAATATCATTCAAATCATCTTTGTTCTCTGTGGTTCACATAGCAAACCCCAGTTAAGAAAGGGCTGCAAGTCTAGAGGATAAAATAACAAGCAAAACGTAGCATTTATCCTCTAGAGTGGCACTGTCCAATAGAACTTTCTCAGTGATAGACGTGTTCTATATCTGTGGTGTTCAACAGAGTGGCCACCAGTTGCATGTGGCTGTTGAGAACTTGAGATGTGAGCAATGCAACTGAGGAACTAAATTTTTAATTTTACTTAACATTAATTAATTTAAATTGAAATAGCCACATATAGTGAGTGGCTACCTTGTTGAATGGCGCAGTTCTAGAATCTCATGTTCAAATATGAGCACGACACTGGATGATAAGTGCTAATAAGAGGTAAGCTCAGAATGACATGAAAGCACCTAGGTGGGGAAGCTAGTCTTAGCGGTGGTAGAGGTTGGGGTGAAAACTTTCCAGAGAAAATGACTTCTAGGATGGGATGTAAAGGACGAGCGATGGAGTTTGGAAGGTGTAGTGGAGAAAGTACTAGGTAGAAGCTGAAGTGTGTGAGAAAGCCCAGAAGATAGAGGGAACATTAAGAAAAGGCAGGTGGATGGCACGAGCCTGGAAGCACAGAGGGGCTGAAGAGCTGATGAGTCCAGAGAGGACCATTGGAGCCAGGATCAGGGCATGAAGGGTTTTAGGTGTCACGATATCTCAAGGGCAATGGGAAGCCAGTGAAGAGTTTGAAGTCATGGAATAATACAATCGTATTTGTGGTTTAGAGAGATTTCCCTGGCTGCCCCTTGGCAGTGTGAAGAGGAAAACTGGAGACATGGTACGTAGTCCAGCTGAGAAATGAGAGTTGTACTTTAATGCAGTAGCATAGATGGAGAGAAGTAGACATATTTGAATAACAGAAAGAGAAAAAAATCAAAAGATTACCTGAGTGATTGACCATGGCTGGTGGAAATGGGAGAGACAAAGGACCAGACCTTGATTTTTGACTTGGGAGATGACAGTACCTTTTATTTAAAGGTAACATGGGATCCTTTAGAAGTTGTTTCTACATTTAAATTTTCCTATCACATTAGCTGACTTGTTCCTTGTGGATCCTGAAACTACCTTTGATATACACTAGTGAAAACAAATACATTATAAGAGCATTTCAAGAAATCAACACAAATTCACAGTTGATGCAACATTGCTTTTATTGGGGGTTAGGAACATATGACAAAGTCATGTAAAATGTCAACAAAGTCACACTTTGTGCTTGGCTGCTCTTTACAAAAAAAAGCCCCATTTATTTATGAACTCATTTAATAAGAACTGTATGAGATGTGGCCAACAATTATCATGGTGAAAACAGGACGGCCAGAGCCATGAGGAGATCTATGTCTGACAATGCTAGCGAGCTAAGTGGAAATTTACCATAGTCAAATATCAGATATACCCACACATTTAGATGTTTGTCCATAAGTAGACCCAGCTTAGCTGACTCCTTTGAGACAGAATTGTGTCTTGAACCTCTGTTATTCAGCTAACCACATTATTAATCATTACTAAATGCCAGTCACATGCAAAGGGGATGGATAAGAAGAATGAGATTTGCTCAATTTTAGCTTTTTATGGCTGAAGTATTTTTGAGTCAGTTACATGGATACGTGAGGATTATAATAGGAAATGACTGAATATTTTTAAAAACATAAGTACTATGGAAACAGTCATGTATAAACATTTGTGCAGAAGCACTTACAAACATATACTGTGCATAAAGTTGGTTAAGAAGATGCTCATTAGATATGATTTATGCAGGTGAACTAAGAATTTGAAATAACTTAAAAACACCATTGAAGACATTATACACATAAAACTTTGGACATTATGCATTCTTTTGGGGATGAACCACTGACAACTTCTGGACTTCATTGCTAGCTATTTTTTACATTAAGATGGGAAACCAAAGAAGTGCAGAACAGAAGCAATCCACTAGGAACAAAGCTCCCTGGTTACTACTTACAGATAGACTGTTTCCACTCATCAAATTGAAGTGCATACTTAATTTAGGAAGGGCAGACTAGTGCAAGAGCTACTGATAGTGAACTGGAGGGCCTGGTTTCCATCCCTTACTCTGTCACACCCCAAAGTTCGATCTTCTGTAAGTCACTCTAAATTTATGGCCTTTAGATTTATTGTCTCTATTAAAAAGGGCATTGCAACAAGTGACTTAAACCTCCCCCTTTTTTATTCTCAAAGATTTGGGATTTTATGGAGACAAAAGTGAACAATCTCATCAAAGTCTTGCAAAAAAAAAAAAAGTCTGAAATGCCGATAAACTTCATTCCCCATTTTTTTTCCAATTTCTATTATGAAAATACATTCTATCACTCTCGTGTAATTTTAACCAGAAGATTGAAAAGTTTTAGGTGATTATTAAATGGAATAGCTATTTGTTTGCCATGGAAAAATATCAAGGAATATAAAAAGGGGTAATAATTGTGACATTGATTACAATATTGCAACTTAGCACTTTAGATCATGAGCTTTGCGATTGCAATCCTGAATGTGAGCCCTGTATACGGCACTTTGGCAAGTTTTCTTGCCTGTAAAATGGGAATAGTAATACCTATTTTGCTAGGCTGTTGTAAGGATTAAGTGAGTTAATATGTAAAATGCTTAACAGAATTCAATAAATACCAATTATCATTAAGTTAATGGAAAAAAATCATAGTTCTCCATATTGACACCAATCTCCCTTACTTACTTTAATGGAAGGGAAATATGATAATAATTCTAAGGAATACCTGGGGTGAGAGACAGGAGGTGACAGTGCAAAGTCTTTTCCAGATATGTATAGAGAGCTGCTGAATGTCTAGGTTTAAGTCAACAAGATGTATATATTCCTTTCCTCCTCCAATGACATCCACCTAAAGAACTCCATTTCCTCCTTCCTTTTCATTTATCTAAATCTTTGACATCACTCAAGATTCATCTCATATTTTCCTCTTTTAAAACTTTCTTCCCTAAATAAGCCAGTTTTGCCAACTTGATGGCAAACTCCCCAGAACTCATCTTTTGCTTGGTTTTGTTTTTGACCTGACCCTCTACTGACCCTATCTGTTACTTATCTTTGCAAATGTTTCTATAACTTTTTCTAACTAGATTTAAACTCTTTAGAAGCAGTGTTTTTTATCTGACAGAATCTAGCTTTCTCAATAAAAAAAATAATAATGATCGATTGGTTAGTGTCAAGTGGACCAGTGTGGTACTATGATTATTTTACCCTTTGAATAGCCTCTGACTACTTTATTTTAAAAGTACTTTTTATTCTGTAGGTCACTCTTAAGATCCAACCCAGTGTGTGGCTAAAAATCATTCTCCTTGTAGGATTAATTTTGTTTCTTAAAATATCAACACATTTGTGCAATTTGGGATTTTGGAACAAGTGCATTAATAAGCATATTCGTACTAGGAAAAAAATGAATGTCACATGAATTTAAGTACAAACAGAGGAATACACACGAGGAAGGGAAAGTTCTTGTCTCATAAAAATCTAGATGTCATTATTGAGTTTTTCTGTTTCTTGAAAAGATTGTCTCTTGTTCTGAGAGTTCTAGTGGCTGAAGCTGCACAATTTGGGGGTGTTGCTTAGCAGAGGAGGTGTCTTCAGGTGATCACTTTCTTTGTTTCAACTTCATAGTTGGTTTGAGAGTCCATCAATATAGCAGTCTCTTCAGTCTTTGTCCTTGAACTGGGGAGACATTCCTGAGGAGGGGGACTATAGGACCAGCTGAAAGGAACATCAACACAACTAAAAAAATAACAGAACATGTCACAGAAAGTTATCACATTGACTCTTTAATAATAATAAATAAATGTAGTGATACTTTGGGAACCATTTTCACTAGGAAAATGCCATTGTTTTACATTGTTCCCCTTGCTAAAGAATCAGTCAGCAATGGCATTGCCTGAGTGTGTGTGATACACCACTCTAATGGCTCTGGGAGAAAATGCTGTGTAAGAAAAGCTTCAGGTTTATCCAACAGGGGACTTGCTGAAATAGGACACATAGGGAAAGAACAAAAGAACACAAGACATTGAGGACACATTCAAATAAATCCAAGGAGTGAAAACAAAGTGAGATAGCTGTGAGTACATAACTGCGTAGGAATGCAGGGCTGAATGAAGTCACTAGGATTGTTAGATGTTGTCAATTCCTTGTATTTGTCTTTGTATTCCCAGTGCCTGGCACAGAACATGGTATGGAAAGAAACAAAATTAAAAAAAAAAGAGGGAAGGAAGGGAGGGAGGGAAAAGAAGAACGAAAGAATGAAAGAAAGAAAAAAGAAAGAAAGAAAGAAAAAAGAAAGAAAAAAGAAAGAAAGAAAGAAAGAGAAAGAAAGA